CGCACTCCGCCTTTAAGAGAGAATTTATAAAGTGGGGAAATGTTTTTTCATTAGGATATCTCCCGTGCTAGTTTTCCATACTCACACTTGCCTGCTCATTGCATGCTTGCATACGCACCCTTGCATATCATGGCATACTCACCCTTGCATATCACGCTTGCATACTTACACTTGCATACTTTGACACGGGCATACTTCGCACTTGGATGCTTTCGCTCTTCCAGTGTGTGTGTGTGTAAGTGTGGAAGTGTCAGTGTGTAAGTGTAAGTGTCGAAGTGTCAGTGTTCAAAGGATTTTCCGGAAGAACCCTTCGCAATGCTTTCGGGAAAAAGCACGGCGGTAAATTCGCTTAGACAACTTCTACTTTTTCCTTGGAACTGTGTTGCCAAGGGACAAAACAATCCAACAGTCAACTAACGTCCTGCATCTGACACAGCTGCCTGACGCTGTGCCTCTTCAGCTTCAAGACGCTGAACGCCGGCAAAGAGTTCCGGTAGCAGAGATCGAGACACTTCGAACTTCTTGCTCGCGTACTCCCCAGTATAAAATTGCACATCCTGCATGTCCCGAAACATATCCACAACAACTCTGTGCAACCGCGCGTCCAAGCTCTTGTCCTTCTTTTTGCGCTCCCCGTCTGGTGGCTGTGCGTCTCCGCCCTGTCCGTCTCCATCCTCTTCATTGGCAGCCAGTTTCTGCAAATCAGCATCGCAAAAACCACGTCCCAAGTATTTCACGTCGACGTTGCACCGCATGCTGACTTGAGCTATGGGATTCGACATGCCTTCGAAGGGATGGTCCCGTTGAGGTTGAAAGACATGGGGGTTCTCATTCTTCATGGCCTCCTCTTCCTCCAATGGAACATTTTCACGTGGTAGAATCATAAACTGCGCACGCTGAACTCGAGGCCATCCCTTCAAACAACGCGCGCGTACCTTCTCCAGTCCAGAGTCTTCAGTTTCTTTGTGTAGTTCGACGTGGAAGCAGCCAAATCGACATCCCCGCTTGCCTTTCGCAGCGTTCCTGAGTCAACGTTGCATGGCCGTGTCACACACAACTCTTAAGTTCAGAGATAACATGCTCGGTGACCGGTGCAGATAACGTGCTCGGTGACCGGTGCATATCAAAAACAAAACTATTATCCCTGTCCGACACCGAACTAATACTAACGACATCGGATCCGCATAACCACGTCCAGGCTACAATGCTGATGTCGTGAAACGAAAACGGCGACACTCGAACCTTGCGCCGATTGCGTAGAACGACGTCCTCCGCGCCGGGTTCGTGTCCCGTCCAAATTTCGTTCTGTTACTGCAGTGGTGATTCCGTTCGTAGCGTCTGAACAAAGTGTCCGAGGTCTATCACAAAAAAACAATCTGCACCCGCCGAGGGTCTTCTTGAAACAAGACTTCGTGCACTTGTGGAAGTGATTCTGTATGACGAGGCGACGATAGTCGCGACAGAGGGCGCCCGACCAACTGGCCGCGTTGAAAGCAGCGGCCTTGCTCCTCCTGACATAATGCGGACGTAGTGAAGCGAAGCATCCGGTCAGTCGGAGAGATGTACTGGACTCCGTCGCCGCTTCGTGGCCGTCTGGCTCCGTTGACCTCAGTGGCACGTCGCTGTATTGCCTTCCACATGCAGCACGCTGATTTTCGCTCAGCGGTAGTGGACACACTTCTTGTTCTAACTGCTGACTGAGAGCTTGCTGGCTGTCGTAGCGAATACGGCTGGCTGCTTGTAGGACGGCGCGACTCCAGCGTTCCAACTCAATGACCAGTTCCCCACGCGCTGCGGTGGCCAACACAGAGCGAAGGCGATTGCCCAGGTCGTGCCCCAAAAGCACAACCAGAATATGTGGGTGCATGGAACCGCGTCCTTGCGTCTCAAGAGGGCCACAAAAGGCTGCCACATCTCCAAAGCAACCAGCATGAGTGGAAGCAGCAAAACCATCTTCGAAGTCCCTGGCAAGACCGCCTCGGAAGCTGGCGCGGGTAAGCGGCGGCAACGTGCCCAATATCTCCTCAAAGAACAAGGTCATCATCACGTCAAAAAACCTTGCTTGAGAGACTGGGTCGGCAGCTAGAATGCGACGCATTGCGTGGCCTCGCAGACGGATCTGAGATCGGTGACCTTCTGTGCCCAAAACGTTGGAACTGGCCTGTAGGACGCTACCCAGTGCGCGCTTGAGCGGCACGTCCACGTCCGGGGAGCGGAGCAACTCGCGGATGTCCGCTTTCTCCCCGTGCAGCGCCATGGCCTTCAGGAGGTGCTCGGAGGTCACGGAGGCTATGACCGAGCAGTGGCGGCCGAAGCCACTCCTCTTGACATAGGCCTTGGAGGTCCGCATCAACGTCAAACGACGTTGGACATCATACATCGTCGGGAGCAACTGCTCCTTGGGTGAGCGACGCGTCGGTGCGACCAAAAAACTTATAAATATCTATTCCTAAACGATAGTAACTGCCACAGACCCCAAAACTATACGATGTCCGAACCAACTCAGCCACAACAGACATTAACCAGAAATCTGGTCCCAAAAAAAGATGACGCAACCACTCGTCGTCCCGAGCGGCCGACAAACTCCATCGAGGTAGTGCAGGGACCTCATCTTCAACACCTCCCTCACCGCTGTACTGGAGCTCTTCGCGTAGGAGCAAATAACGAAACACTTCAGAAGCTTCCATGCTCGTCTCCCTCTTCAAGAAAGGCACCCCGTCACCCCAAGGGAACAACGTAGGAAAAGCCATTGCCCAGGTCCCTGGCTCAAACATGCTCAGAGGGGTATCTCGAGAAGGCACCACCAACTTCTGTGGCCTGACCTCAAACATTTGCCCTTGCGCTTGTCGCTCTGTCTCCACCCCACGCGCGGCCACAGTCTGGACCTGGCGGATGCGACGAAGGACTCCACGTTCGTGCGCGCCTTCTCGACCCAGTAGATTTGCTCCTTCCATCTGCGCAGCACCCACACCCAGGTCATTGTTGGCCCGATTGCGCACGACCAGCTCTGCATCAGTGACTGTCGAGGCTTTCGACGACACAGATCCTCCACATCTCGGCAAACCCGCAACCAACGATTCTCATCGTCCGAGGTGTCATTCAGGCCGACTATGCTGGAAATCAGATGACCTGACCAAGCAGGAGTGTGCCAAGGAGTTAGCCAAGCAACGAGAGATCACTATCTGTATATGTCTATCTATATAGAATCAGTAGTTTCAAATGTGAGACGACGACCTACCAACCCACAGACCAAACGCAACTGTCCTGAGTCTTCGTGCGCTCGCTCGCCGGACTCCGCAGTGTCCTCCGCCATGCCAGCGTCGTCCTCCTCCTGCTGGCTGCTCTCTTGGCCTTGAGCGTCCGCCGGTCCCCGTTGTAAGAGCTCTCTCGCCAAATAGCTGTCTGCGTCCGTCTCAAGGACACAGCCTTCAAACATAGTCTCCTCCTGGCCAGACCATCGACTGAGATCGACCGCTGCCTCCGCGTAGTACTTGGAAGTTTGTCGGAGGCGCTCGACAGCGGCAACGTATTCCTCTCGAGGTGCCTGCATCGTGGCCGACGATCGCAGGTCGCCTCTGTTGTGGCCCACCAAGACGAACAAGATGTGCTCGGCCATGTCCTCTGCGCGGGGTGGCAACACTGCTTCGACTGAGGAAGGACTAGCTTGCGGCAAAAAGATGGTGTTCCCGATGAAGCCCTTCTGCCGTTCGGCGTGGGGAAGCACCACCGGCTGCAGGACGGTGACCTGCGTGCACACACGCACCAGGGGCAAGAGCCGCTTCGTCCCCGCGGAGAGGGAACGAAGCTCTGGCAAGGCTCTGCCAAGCCACAGGTCATTCGCCAGGGCGTGGCGCGGCAAGGTCAGAACCTGGGCTGTCAGGCTGGCGCGGCAGTCCCGGCAAACAGGGGACGGCTGTCGTGCGTCTTCCGGCATGCGCCGCCGGTGCAAGAGCACATATTCACCTGGGAGGAAAGGATGTTCAACGGCAGACTTCTGCAACTCCTCCAAAGCAATGTGCGGCCAGCGCTCAGCATAGCGTGGAACTCCCAGCAGGCGGCACAGTCGATGCTGCTGGGATGGACGGACTGCTGCATCCACTCCATCCGGGGAGCTGTGGTAGCCCTTCTGCTTGGGCAGGATCGGTGAAGAGTAGCACCTTGTTCAACTCATGCGCCCAAAAACGTCGAGCACACACCACACAGGCAGCTTCCATTCGGCCCTCCTCACTCGTGCCTGCAGGGCAACGCAAGCGCTCATCAAAGTTGGCAGCTATTGTCCTCTGTCTGCTCATACCTGGTACCTCAGCGATCATCCACGTTCGGACACACCAAATATGTATCACACATAAAATGCCATAAACAACAAAACACCTCCCATACAACACTATGACATATAAATCACCCACCTGACATGACAAGAAGCAGTTTTGTGTTCATAACATATAACGAGTTTGTCAAAGGCGACGCGACAATCGATATGCGAGCAGCGATAACATTTCCTTCACTCTAGGACACTGCTTTTCTGAGATGTAGTTCACCAACCACTATGCCCTACGCTTGTCATTGACTACTTGACTGTCTCACAGAAAAACCGGCCTACTCTCGCTTTTCAGCTCGCGACTGGCCTTTGTGCACCGAAAAGATTGTTTATGTCTAGTCCTTGTTGCGCTTCCGCAGAACGGCGTCCACACAGGAGTTGTCAGGAAAAAGTTACAACGTGAAACGCCAAAATACGTCCAAGACATCGACCGAGACACAAGAGGTCCTGCGTGCTCAACAAGAGCGAGAATCTTCTTGCGATACTCAATCAGCATCCGGGGAGTATCTTGCAGCCCGACGCCAGCGTGCTCCTGTGCGACGTGCTCTTTGAAGGACTTTGCATCTGCGCAGTCGGTTGGACACAATCTACAGCAGAATTTCTGTAGGCAGTCACCTGCATCCTCAGGGAAAGATCGCAGTAAGCGCTTGGCTAAGGCTTCTTGCACACCAGAAAACGTGGGTGAACAGTCCAATCGTCTCGCGACTTGCTCGAGCTTCCACGTGACAGGGCGCTGTGTGTTGGTCAACAAATCAAGACACTCCATCTCGTCTGCTTCTGGCAACCAACGCTTACAGAAATCCTGCAAAGGATGAAACTCCTCCTTGCCCTTGCCCTCTTCTCTCCATCCAGGGATCGAAAACATCAGAGCACGTTCAGCTGCAGACCGCCAGAGTACACCACGCAGGGAATCGCCTTCCAAGGACAAACACTCAACTCTGTAACCCGGCAGCGGCGCAAAGTCTGGAGGATAAGCTTTCTGGAGGGTCCTCACACGCGCCTCCCTGCTGTTGAAATACTTGCCCACCCTCTTCGCCAAGTCTGCATGCTGCTTCTTCTCGGGCAACGAAGAACACCCGTGGAGATCTTGCCAGGCCAACAAGTCATCGTGCAAAGTAACCACCTCCTGGGCAATACCACTGCGGTCTAATCTCGACTCCAAAACGGTCACCGGATTGTGCCACGCACGCAAACTCTCACGACAAGCAGGGTGCAACAAGTGCGCGACCAGAAACCAAGCAAAACGAGACCAATCCTCTGCCTTCTTGACTGCTTCAAAGGTTTCCATCCACGTGCACGCTGCGCTCTCGTCCAGATGTCTTTCCCAGCCATAGCGCCGCATCAAAGTGCGCAACAAGAGTTTGTCTGCCTCGTCATATCCACGACTCTTGTGCTTGTGCTTCAGTGCGCCCAAGACCGCCTGCACAGAGAGACACGGGAAAAAAGAACAAGCGAACGAACAACCAATCAAATCAGAAACTGTTTCTCCGAACCAAACGTCCACATAAACCTTGCAAAAGTCCCACGCTTTCTGCCGACCCACCTCCAAAACATCTTCTCGATCCTGGAAGCCACTGTCTGGCTCCACTGCTGGTCCAGCTTGATGACATGTGGCCAGGCTCCACAGTCGCTCTGCTACATCCACTGGATCTGCGCGATCCCAGCAATCCACCAACTGCCACCAACCTTGCGTCCAATATATTTTCGATGGAAACAGTCTATATGTTTGCGACCGAACAAAAGCCAAACAAACATCAGACCCCACAACACAATTCCGGTCCACACGCGCCCGGCCTCTGCGCTGTAGCGGCCGATTCTCCAACAACACAGCCAGCAAACTACTGCACTGCAATCCAGACAAACGGTCTGGCCATCTGATGCTTTGCAGTTGTTCCATCGCAGTGGTCCAAGTCTCTGGCACTTCAGCTGGAAACTGAACATTCAAAGCAGAAAGGTGTTGCAAGACTGCAACGGTGGCCTGGCTCAATTGCTCCAGCTCCGCGGCCGCGCTTCCATGCCTCCTCTCAATACTTTCCAACGGAACATCTTCGCAAACACTAAGCATGGATCGCCGTAGCTGTGTCGCAGGAAAACTGACAGATGCCTTTGCTACGAGGTCTGCTGCAGGAACGGTCCGGCAATCTGCGAGCCAGCGCCAAAAGTGATACCTCACATCATCTTCCGCCCCGGGCGCTCGCAGCGGACAGAGCGACAGAACGATGCTATCCACCAGCCTGTTCCGATGCATATGCTCGCAAGGTAGGCCCAACTCCGAAGCTATACCCACCAAGGACGGCTCCGCGTTCCTCAGACGCACACCCCTCAGACGACCTCGGAGGGTCGGCGGCGCTTGGTCTCCCAGCTCCTGCGCCAAGCGTCGCAGTGACTCCGCAGTCACCGGTTCCTCCGCAGTGACGCTTGCGCAGATACATTCAACTTGGGTATCATTCAACTTGGGTATCATTCAATTTACAGGGATATCAGAAGCAGACACCTATTGGACCGCAAGAAAACAGAGTCTCAACTAAGTTGAACTATACAGCTGCAAATCACACAACCGTCCTGAGCGTTCGGATGTCCCGGTTCCTGTCAGGGACTTTGCATGGATACCAAAAGCAGATACCCATCCCCGAATACAACCCTTCCTGCAAAGCGCAGCTTTCCACTATCGAGTCTAACTTCAACACAAACAGCTTGTGTGCAAAGTTCAACACCGCTCTATGCCCATCCCCTTACTCCAGTCCTCCTGCGATGAGAAGCAGTCCACTATGGATTCCAGCAGCTGCTCCTTCCCAAGGGTTCCGCCGTCGCGCCTCTGCGGCAGCCCCAACATAGCGCACAGCCGTCGCAAGTCGGTGTAGTTCTTGGCCTCCAACTCGGTCCGCAACCACGCCGCGCCTCCCTCCCGGTGTCCGTCTCGCAGGCGCTGCGCCTCTGGCTCCTGCTGCCCTGCTTCCTGTATGGGAATTTGCAGGGGTATCAGAAGAAGACACCTATTGGAGCACAAGAACACAGGGATTTTGCTTGGATACCAAAAGCAGAACACCCAGAGCTTGTGCGCAAAGTTAAACACCGCTCTACGCCCATCCCCTGACTCCATCCCTCCTGCGATGAGAAGCAGTCCACTATGGATTCCAGCAGCTGCTCCTTCCGAAGGGTTCTGCCGTCGCGCCTCTGCGGCACTTCCAACTTCGCGCACAGCTGCCGCAAGTCGGAAGTGCTCTTGGCCTCCAACTCGGTCCGCAACCATGCCGCGCCTCCTCTCCATGTCCCTCTCGCAGGCGCTGCACCTCTGACTCCTGCTGCCCTGCTTCCTGTATGGGAATTTGCAGGGATATCAGAAGCAGACACCTATTGGACCACAAGAAAACAGAGTCTCAACTAAGTTCAACTGTACACTGCACCCATCCCCTAACACAGATTGGGTGTCTTAACAAAGATTGAAAGTCTTATATCAAGATGTCTTTTGCTTGGTCGAATACATCTACACGTCACAAAACCATTGTAACCAAGGTTGAGTGTCTCAGAAAGCTTAGAATTCTTATATCTAGATATCTTTTCCTTACTCCAAGACAGCTACAAATCACGAAACCGTCCTCCATGTTCGGATGCGCCGGTTCCTGTCAGGGATTTTGCTTGGATACCAAAAGCACAACACCAAGAGCTTGTGCGCACAGTTCAACACCGCTCTACGCCCATCCCCTTACTCCAGCCCTCCTGCGATGGGTTCTGCCGTCGCGCTGCTGCGGCAGCCCCAACAAGGCGCACAGCCGTCGCAAGTCGGTGTAGTTCTTGGCCTCCACCTCGGTCCGCAACCACGCCGCGCCTCCCTCTCCATGTCCCTCTCGCAGGCGCTGCACCTCTGGCTCCTGCTGCCCTGCTTCCTGTATCGGAATTTGCAGGGATATCAGAAGCAGACACCTCTTGGAGCACCAGAAAACATTACACTAGGGGTATCCAACATTACACTGCACCCATCCCCTAACACAAATTGGGTATCTTAACAAAGAT